GAGTCAGTAAAAGATTGCATGATCAAGTGGGCGAGAAACATCGGCAGAGCCATCAAATTTAAAGAATGGGAAGTTATATGGACCAAGAAGATTAAATATACCTATTCTATGGGGTTGAAGGAGAACTGGTATAAGATGTTTCACAGATGGCACATGACGCCCCAGAAATTAAGTATCATGTATAGGAATCTTAATAAAAGATGCTGGAAGTGTGAAGAAAAGGTGGGAACTTTTTTCCACCAGTGGTGGACATGCACAAGAGCACAATCTTACTGGAAAGAAATAAAGGAAGCATGCGAACTGATCTTCAAGAGAAAAATACAGAGAAAAGCAGAATATTTCCTTCTGGGAATCTTCGAAGAAGAGTGGGAGTTGGACATAAATAGTGACATGCTGCTGACTTACTTAACAACGGCTGCAAGGATTGTTTATGCCAGATACTGGAAATCAAAAGAAATCCCTTCCAAAGAAGAGTGGCTAGAGAAGGTGTGTGATATACGAGAGATGGATGTATTGACCTACACATTAAAAGATTCACATGGGCGTCCATTGAAGAGGACAAATTGGAAACCTTTTGAGGACTTCTTAGAAAAGATTTAGCCTGAAAACAAATAGGGTAAAGAGAAGAATTTAAGATAAGAAGTAATTGAAAAGGAAGTAACACAAGGGAGGAACTACACATAGAGTTCCCTAGAAAAGAACTAATATTAAAGACTCGGAGCATGAAGACTGAGAAGTCGGTTTATCCTTCCAATTGTTATATTCCCCCCTCCCTCCTATCCCTTTACTGTGTTTCCTACCCTTCCCAACTTCCCTGACCCCCTCCCTTCCTTCTTAGAGACCCCTTCTCCTCCTTTAGGATCACCTCCTCCTCTTATATCCCCTATCTCTACCCTTATCCCCTACCCACCTCACCCTGTTGTCTTTTCTATGAAGCTTTTATGTATTCACTTCCCCCCCCCCCAAGCTTTTGTACAGTTTGAAATATTTCTAATAAAAAATAAATAAATAAATAAATAAAAAGAAATAATTACGCAAATTTGGAAAAATTGTTTCGATTCTTAATTACTCTTCACACTATTCCTGCATGGCTCGATATTGGATCGTAAGCTAATTTAAATACGAATTAATAACGACTTTAGAAACTAACGAACACGATCAAACAAGCCTAATACATACGTTTACATATACATACACACATATAATGAGATATCTTAGAGATGGGACTCAAGTCTAAAATATGAAATGCCTTTATCTTTCATGAACACTTTATTGCTTGAAAATGATTTTATACAATATTTGTACTAATTCCAAGCATGAAACAAAGTTTGCTGCTAGAACACAGCCATAAAGCCTGGAAAGCACACAACACCCCAAAGTTTGCATGCATCCAACCACCTGAAACCAAAGTTGGCCTTATCACGTGGACAGTTTTTGGAGTATTCTGGATTCCAGACAAGGGATGTTCAATCTGTATTAAATAGAGGGAGATATTTCTCCTTCGGACAGTGCCATGGCAGGTTACAATGTTAGATATGATTTTGTGTTTATTTTTATTTTCTGTTTAAGAATTTCTGCAGTCTTAATGAACAGGTTTCAATGAACTATATACCTTTTCCTTCACATCTTCTTTTCGTTTTCTTAAATAATAATCATAAGCTGCTCTAGGAACCTCTTATGGATAAAAGGGCTTCCTACTGACCAGAAAATAATGGCTTCAGATGCTCTGCTGTTATTAATTGCATCTTAATGAGCAGCTCTTCACAGCATGGAAAGTTACTGAATCTCTAAAGTCAGCACAATTAAATATATTACCCTACAACACAAGCCAGTTTATTTGATTTTTTGTCCTCCCTTTCAATTCAATAGGACCCCCAAGGCAATTTACACCAATTAATAATACATCGTCCTCATTGGGACCATGTCTATGACCTCAAAGCACACTGTAGCCAAACCAATCCTTATTTAAGGGAATGCAACCATCCACATTTTCTTTTTCCACCCTCAGACAGATGTTCTTACTGTAGGTTTCATCCTCTCTTCCTTGAGATTTCAGACGTTTTGACCTGTGCAAGGGCAAGAAAGGAAAGTGCTCAGCAACCGCAATAGATGTGAAGTGATGATAGTGGGATATTCTGTTGCCTGGGTCTGTGAGTCTTAGTTCAACCCCATTGCAAGGGCAGATTTTTTCAGCCTTCAAGGGCAAAGAAGGAGATTGCAGGTAGAAGAGGAGCATGCTTCTCAAATGATAAGGTGGCAATCCTGATTCTAAATAACACATATTTTCTTGCTTTGATAAGGGTAATTCAAAACACGTGCTTAAGATACCATATATCAGGGGTCCTCAAACTAGGCCCAGGGGGCAGATACGGCCCTCCAAGATCATTTACCCGGCCCTCGGTCAGGGTCAACCTAAGTCTGAAATGACATAAAAGCACACAACAACAATCCTATCTCATCAGTCAAAAGCAGGCCCCCACTTCCCACTGAAATATTTGTATTTGTTGAAATTGTTCTTCATTTTAATTATTGTATTGTTTTTAAGTATTTCTTTTTTTTTTTGCACTACAAATAAGATATGTGCAGTGTGCATAGGAATTCATTCATTAAACAAAATAATCTGGCCCTCCAACAGTTTGAGGGACTGTGACTTGGCCCTCTGTTTAAAAAGTTTAGTTTGAGGACACCTGCCATATATACTCATGTATAGGTCGACCTCGTGGTTTAAGGTCAGCTGTTCTTACCCTAGATCAGTGTTTGTCATCAGCAATGTACTGAATGGGCGCAAATAAATTGAAACTTGTATTGTTGAAGGCTTTCATGGCCAAAATCACTGGGGTGATGTATGGTTTCCAGGCTGTGTTCGAGCAGCATTTTCTCCTGATGTTTTGCCTGCATCTGTGGCTGGCATCTTCAGAGGATCCTTTGTGGAGCGAAAAAGTGGGGTATGAATAATAATAATCGTTGTGGGCTTTGCACTCAAGACTTGTAGCTTGAACCAATACTTCAGGAGGCTCCTTCTTTGGGTTTTTAAACAGAGGCTGGATGGACATCTGTCGGGGGTGCTTTGAATGCGATTTTCCTGCTTCTTGGCAGGGGGTTGGACTGGATAGCCCATGAGGTCTCTTCCAACTCTATCATATGATTCATATACTAGCAAAATATGAGAAACCAGCAATGTTCACAACCGGTGTACAAAGAACTAGAGCGACAACATATATAGTGGTTGCTGGAGCATTAGCCGATGTCCCTGGAAACCACAATTCAAATTCCCATTCAGCCCTGAAAGCCCACTAAATGGCAAGTCACACTCTCTCTGCCTCAATGGAAAGCAAAAGGCAAAAATACCTCTGAACAAGTCCTCAAGACTGACATTATCTGGAAGGAAACAACCAGGGCTTGAATCCCACTCAGCCTTGGAAAGCCTGCTTTTCTCCCAATAGCACTTAGTACTTTTTTCATTATTTCAGTACTCCTGTATACATTTTTCTGTATCCCTATGTAATTTACCTCACCTTCTTCTGCGGTGCTTTCCAGGGGGCGTGGCTAAGAGGGGTGGGCGAGGCTCCTGCTCAAGAGCGTGGGGTAGGGCCCCTTCCCTGGTTCAAGATGCAGGGCTGGGAGGGGGAGGTGGGCAGGATTACTAGTTCTGAGGTAGGGCTGAGCTTCTATCTGTCCTGTGGCGCCTGCCAGGACACAGGGGGCGGGGGTAGGTGAGGGGGCGGGGCTACCACTTGTCAGGAGCACTCGCCTGGATACCGAGCTGGGATGGGAAGGGTGGGCGGGGTTAGAAATGGGTGTGGGCGGGGCTTCTTTTCAAGGGCGCCGAGATAGAGCTGGGATTCTACCCTGGTCCTGCGACACTTGCCAGGACGAAGGGGGCGAGAAGGGGATGGGCGGGGCTTAGTGGGCGTGGCCACTTTCCAAGGGCGCCTAGGCGAGGCAGTCTCTTTGGCCCTGCTAAGGCACGGGGGCGGGGCTAGGGGAGAGGGCGGGGCTCCCACCTCTCAGGGCTGGCGTGGGCGGGGCCTCCCTCCAAGAGCCCGAAACAGGGCGCTTCTCCTGAGCCGCCTGTTAGGAGAAAGGGGCGGGACTAGAGGAGGGGGCGTGGCCTCCTTCCAAGAGCCCGGGTCAGGGCTGAGCCTCTCCTGAGGAGCCTGTTAGGACATAGGAGGCGGGGCTAGAGGAGGAGGCGGGGCCTGCTTCTAAGAGCCCGGGTCAGGGGTGAGCCTGTACCTCTCCTGAGGCGCCTGTTAGGAGAAAGTAGGCGGGTCTAGAGGAGGGGGCGGGGCCTGCTTCCAAGAGTCCGAGACAGGGCTGAGCCTCTCTCCTGAGGCGCTTGTTAGAACATAGGGGGCGGGGCTAGAGTAGAGGGCGGAGCCTCTTCCCAAGAGATCAGGACAGGGCTGAGCCTCTACCTCTCTCCCGAGGCGCCTGTTAGGGCACGGGGGGCGGGGCTAGGGTAGAGGGCGGGGCCTCCTTCCAAGAGACCAAGACAGGGTTGAGCCTCTACCTCTCTCCTGAGGTGGCGCGTGCTAGGACACAGGAGGCGGGGCTAAGGAAAGGGGCGGGGCTTCCTTCCACGAGCACGAGACAAGATTGAGCCTCTCTCCTGAGGCGCTTGATGGGACATAGGGGGCGGGGCCTCCTTCCAAGAGCCCGAGACAGGGCTGAGCCTCTACCTCTCTCTCGAGGCGCCTGTTAGAATACAGGGGGCGTGGTTAGTGATTGGGGCGGGGCTCTCGCCCAAGTTTGCTGTCCTGAGGCATCTGAGCCTTTCCTCCAGGGCTGAGAGGGGAGGGCGTAGGCGGGGCTAGGAGGAATGGGCGTGGCCTCTTTCCGCGCGCGCCTATGCGAGGCAGAGTGGCCCACAGGGGGCGTGGCTTCCACCTGCCGGGGCTGGGTGGGCGTGTCTCCCGCCCCGGGTCCCTCATGGCTGGGCGGGGAGTGGGCGTGGCTGGCACCTGCTGGGGCGAGGAGGGCGTGGCTTGCTGTCAAGGCTGCCGGTGCCGCCAGTCATTCAGTCCTGCTTGGAGCTCATCCTGCAGGCAGCGCGGGCGGGAGGGAGGCGCCTGGGAGAGCTCCATCCGAGCCCAGCGCTTCCTTCCAGGCGGGAGGAGGAGGAGGAGGAAGGGAGACGGACGGGCAGAGCAGCTCCTTTCCCTTCCATCGGGGCGGCCGTGCCTCATGCCCGCCTCCTGCCCGAGCCCGGAGAGGGAGCGCGCGTTTGGGTAAGTGAATCCAGGTAGTCCAATGGGACTTAGAAGTTAGTTGTGGTTCTCAGGCAGAGTCCTACATTGAGTGAGTGTGCAAAATAAGAATCAAGGAGCTGCTCAGTGTCAGAAGTTTTTTTTAAGTGCTTCGGATATGCAGGATAAGTAAGTCCTCCTGAGTCTGGTCTGAAGTGAGAATAGTTTACTAGGAGAAGGGCACAGCGGTGGGTCTGAGGGATTAATTGAGCAAGGAGAGGCTTAGAGCATAATTAATTCCTCAGCCAGAAATACTCCTTCGCTAATTAGAAAGTCGAGTCTATAGGAGGGAAGAGACAGGTGCATTGTTTGCAAGTATACTTAAATTTAAACACAAAATAAGAACAACAATGAAATAATAATAATAATGCATGTCCTATACTCCTTATATACAAAGCCTAAAGATAATTTAAACACAATATTTTAAATAATTTTTGAGCATGAAACAAAGTTTGTGTACATTGGACCGTCAGAAATTAAAGGTGTCACTATCTTAGCCTTCTGTGTGAACAATTTGGGAGTGTTTTTTCTTCTGTCAGGAGCGACTTGAGAAACTGCAAGTCACTTCTGGTGTGAGAGAATTTGCCGTCTGCAAGGATGTTGCCCAGGGGACGCTGGGGTGTTTTGATGTTTTACCATCCTTGTGGGAGGCTTCTCTCATGTCTCTGCATAGAGAGCGAGAGCTGACAGAAGGAGCTCATCCATACTCTCCCTGGATTCGAACCTCCAACCTGTCAGTCTTCAGTCCTGCCGGCACGAGTGTTTAACCCATGGTGCCATCAGGGGCTCCTAATTTTGGAGTATTTTGGGAGTATTTTAAAAAATCCGAAGGGATGCTCAACCTGTACTTCTTTATATATCCTTTTGCTGTATTCGAATTTGAACCAATAGTGCCCTTGACTTTGCTGTTAATAAACACATTCTATACCATTTGAATATCCTTCTCATTGTTTTTCAGGAGGCTAAAAGTCGACAACTTTCTGTTTTTCATTTTAGTGCCGCCAATGGTGTATTGTAATATACCAAATTGTAGGTATAGGCATGGTTGAGTTAAGGTGAATTGTCTGGATTTGACTGCACTGGGAATTAACTCACCAAAGTGGCTTAAATCCTGATGTTTCACCTTAGCATGACTGGAGAGTTCTTTGAATGACATTCAGAATAGCCAGAAAATATAACAACAACAACAACAAAAACAACAACAGCAACATGCTTATTTGGAACACAGTAAAAACAGACAGATACAACACTATATGTTGTCAAAGGATTTCATGGCCAGAATCATTGGATTGCTGTGAGTTTTCCGGGATGTATAGCCATGTTCCAGAAGCATTCTCTCTTGACATTTCGTCCAAATCTATGGTAAGCATCCACAGAGGTTGAGGGGTCTGTTCGAAACGAGGCAAGTGGGGTTTATATATCTGTGAAATGTCCAGGATGGGAGAAAGAACTCTTGTCTTCTTGAGGCAAGGGTAAATGTTGCAATTGACTACCTTGATTAGCATTGAATGGCCTTGCAGCTTCAACACAACCTACAAACTATCGGACCTACTAAGAAAATCCAACAATTCTATGTTCAGCAAAGGAAAAGAGGGATCTTCTCACCTCTGCAGGAGTCTACCGTGTACCATGCAGCTGTGGACAAGTCTACATAGGGACCACCAAACGCAGCAGCATTGCCCAAACACGAATCAAGGAACATGAAAGGCACTGCAGACTACTTCAACCAGAGAAGTCAGCCATAGCAGAGCACCTGATGAACCTGCCTGGACACAGCATATTATCTGAGAACACAGAAATGCTGGACCACTCTAATAACCACAGTGTCAGACTACACAGAGAAGCCATTGAAATCCACAAGCATTTGGATAATTTCAACAGAAAGGAGGAAACAATGAAAATGAACAAAATCTGGCTACCAGTATTAAAAAAAAACTAAAATCAGTAGAGTAAATAAAGAGCAACACCCAAAAAACAAGAGAATTCCTAACATAAAACAATCAGGGCCAGCTAACACCTCCCAACAAGGAGTCCCCCAGGCAGGAAGCAGCCAGGCTTTGAAGCTGCAAGGCTATTCAATGCTAATTAAGGTGATCAACTGTAGCATTCGCACTTGCCTCAAACAGACAAGAGTTCTTTCTCCCACCTTGGATATCGCATAAATAAACCCCCCTTGCCTAGTCTCCAACAAACCTCAAAACCTCTGAGGATGCTTGCCATAGATGTGGGTGAAACGTCAGGAGAGAATGCTTCTGGACATGGCCATACAGCCCGGAAGACTCACAACAACCTAATACACTATTTATTTATGTATTTTATTGCATTTCTATACCACTCTTCTCACCCCTAGGGGACTGTACAACATGGGAAAATGGCAAAAATTCAATGCTGAAGATGGATATAAAAGCAATACATAACATAACTAAATCAATAACATATAAATATGAATTAAACGCCATTAAAAACTATAAAAGAAACATAACATGAACATAAAACATATTAAAGATTGCACTGGTCCCATGATTATTCTTTAGCTCAGACATGGGCAAACTTCGGCCCTCTGGGCCAGCTGTTAGGAATTGTAGGAGTTGAAGCCCAAAACAGCTGGAGGGCCAAAGTTTGCCCATGCCTGATTTAGCTGCTTCAGTAATACTATCACTGCTTGCATAGCCAGATTTTAAGGTTTTTTTTCTGAACACCAGAGGAAGGGGGCCAATCTGATCTCACTGAGAAGGGAGTTCCACAGCTGAGGGGCCACCACCAAAAAGACCCTGTCCCTCATCCCCACCAATCATACCTGCAAAAGCGGCAGGACCAAGAGCAGGACCTCCCCAGGCGATCTTAGTACTGGTTTATAGAGGGAGATACATAAGCTGAGCTGGAACCATTTAGGGCTTTGCAGGCTAAAGCCAGCACTTTGAGTTGTGCTCGGTAGCGGACTGGCAGCCAGTGGAGCTGACGTAACGGGTGTTGTGTGCTTCCTATACACCGGTCCACTGAGCAGTCTGGCTGCTGCCCAGTTCCTTACTAAAACACATACTATATTAAAAGGCATATACTACTAAAATACACAATCAATTGTTTCCTTTTGCTGTCAGTAATGTTCAAGGTTCTTTTGCTTCATGGAGTCCATGAAGTATCCACATTTGACTTGAGACCATAAAGTAATTGAATTTGAAGAAAATGATAAACAGGCACACAAATATAAATATACACTGATACACTGTGATTCAAATTCACTGCAAAACAATCGATCGCTGGGTACATTTGTGCATCCATATTTCATAAATCCATATTTTCCAGCACTTAATTAAATGTGTTCTTACTGCAAAGATTTTTTTAAAATGTTTTGAAAGTTTTGGAGATTTTGGTTTTTTTAAAAAAAAATCTATATTGAGCTCAGGCTTAAAGATCTGGGCATGTTTAGCCTGCAGAAGAGAAGGCTGAGAGCAGTCATGATGACCATGTATAAATATGGGAGGGAAGTCATAGAGAGGAGAGAGCAAGTTGTTTTCTGCTGTCCTGGAAAGGATGCGGAACAATGGCTTCAAACTACAGGAAAGGAGATTCCACCTGAACATTAAGAAGAACTTCCTGACTGTGAAAGCTGTTCAGCAGTGGAACTCTCTGCCCTGAAGGCTCCTTCTTTGGAGGCTTTTAAGTAGAGGCTGGATGGCCAACAGTTGGGTGTACTTTGAATGTGATTTCCTGCTTCTTGGCAGGGAATTGGATCGGATGGCCCATGGGGTTTCTTCCAACTCTATGATTCTATGAGTGCCCAATTAAATAACTTAATGTCTGTTCCTATTTCTCTGTTTATTTTTTTTAAAAAAGCACAGCCAAGGCACTCCATATGAAGAATAAAAACCCTTGACTCTGTAACCGCACTGCTTCCTTGAACAGTGAAAGAAGAATGAGAGAAGAATCTGTCTGACTCTTAAGATATTGGACCATCAGCCAAAAAGAGCGCAAAATGGCTCAGTGTAAAAACATTGCGGCTCATTTCCTTGAAGAATGGCGCCGGCAGGAACTACCTCTCAGCTGTAAGAAACACCGAAATGTCAGGAAAAAGCAGAGAGTGATACGAATAATGGGACTGTTCCTCGGCGTGGTGGCCGTGAGCACGCTTTCTCTTTCCATTAGTGCCTTTTCTGAGTTGGAAGCGTATAGCTCAGAGACAGCCAGCAACGTAGATAGCCAAAAGTTTGCACACACACAGCAGAGGACTCTGTTGGACTTTAAGGATCAGAACCAGAATGGCACCCCGGGTTCATCTGTTTCTATGAAACAAGAGGCCGGAGAAGAGAACCACACGGAGGAGCACAAGGGGGAGTATCCCGAAGATCTTTTTTCTCTGGAGGAGAGAAGAAAGGGTGCTGTCATTCTTCATATTTTGGGCATGATTTACATGTTCATAGCCTTAGCCATTGTCTGTGATGAATTCTTTGTCCCTTCGCTGACAGTCATCACGGAGAAGCTGGCGATTTCCGATGACGTGGCTGGGGCCACCTTCATGGCTGCCGGGGGCTCGGCCCCAGAACTGTTTACTTCTTTGATAGGAGTCTTTATATCCCACAGCAACGTTGGCATCGGGACAATAGTCGGGTCTGCCGTGTTCAATATCCTCTTTGTGATTGGAATGTGTGCTTTATTTTCCAAAGAGATTTTGCACCTGACTTGGTGGCCGCTCTTCCGGGATGTGTCTTTCTACATCATGGACTTGATATTGTTGATTGTCTTCTTTTTGGATAACTTCATCATGTGGTGGGAAAGTTTAACGCTGCTGATTGCTTATATGGTCTATGTGACTTTCATGAAGTTCAACGTGCAAGTCGAAGGAATGGTGAAAGGGCTTTTAAGCAAGAACAAAGTGGAGAAAGTCGCGCCAGAACCTGAAGGAAAGGTTAGTGATCGCATTTGCATGTGTATATGCCCCGCCCCGCCCCCATTGTGGCACTTCTGAATTTGTCATTTATGCTTTGATTTGTATTGGATGTTATTTGTATTGGATATCTTTCTCCCCTACAAATCTCAAAATGATTTGCCAAGTAGAAAGATGTACAAGAAAAAACACATGGAGATAAAAACATACAACATCAACAACAATAATGAATGTATTACCCACCTCTTTGTGAGACTCAAGGCTGGGGTAATATTTAGAAAAGAAGTTATGTGTTATAATGTAAGTAATGTAAATAAAGATCTGTATTATCTATAGAATTAAAATACATCCATTTACTGTGTATTTGACCTTTACAGTTTTGATTTAAATCTTCTATCTAGGCCTCTTCCACACAGCTGTATAAAATCCACATTGAACTGGATTACATGGCAGTGTGGAGTCAGATAATCCAGTTCAAAGCAGATATTTTGGATTATCTGCCTTGATATTCTGGGATATAGGGCTCTATGTAAGGGCCCTAGGAATCTCCAGGTTCTCCAGTGCAATTCTGTTGATCATAGAGACACTCTGGATAATGTAGGCCCCTTCTACACTGCCATATAATCCAAATTATCAAAGTATCAAATCCACATTACCTGCTTTGAACTGGATTATATGAGTCTACACAGCCATATAATCCAGTTCAAAATAGATAATCTGGATTTTATATGGCAGTGTAGAAGTGGCCTCAGGACCCTTCCACACAGCCATATTAATCAGAAAATCAAGGTAGAAAATCCCACAATATTTGCTTTAAACTGGGTTATCTGAATCCACATATCCATCTGAATGCCATATATTCCAGTTCAAAGCAGATAATGTGGGATTTTATTCAGCTGTGTGGAAGTGACTTTAGAGGTTCTTAGAACACTTTTCTAGGATTCTCATGAAAACCATCCATAGAGTTATGCTGAAGGACCTAGAGATATCTATAGAAGTGTTCTCTCAACAAATGTATCTTAATATATGTATTTCATAGAAATACATTTTAATATGATGATGTTATTTTAAACTGTTGTGCCTCTCCTCAAACCATGAGGAGAGGTGGATAAGATATACAATAATAATAATTTTAGGAATAATAATCATTATTATTGTTATTAAAAATCACAATTTTAATACTTTTTAATACATAATAGGGAGTTCCCCAAAGAAAAATATATTTGCCCATTAACAAAAAGTCAGCAAAGAAGGAGTTTGCCTATAGTCTCCAGACAGGGAATTCCAGAATGTAAGCACAATCACCAAGTAGGCCTTTCTGATATTTTCACTAAATGTGTTTGAAGATACAAGAGAAGACCTGAAGGTCTGAGGCTCATACAGTCCTTCATGCATACCTGACCCATATAGGACTGGCAGCCCACTGCTTTCGTTGAATAATTGACACCTGGACTTCTGTCTCTGTTTCCTTCTACATACAGGGCCTTTAATGTTGTTTACAGTTGCAAGCAAATTGTTTTAAAAGTCATTAGCTGTTGTGTTGCCAGCAATAGCCTCACAACAGAAAACCAAAATCAAACACCAATTCAGGACAGGACGTACAAAGACACAAGAAACATTATACATCCAAAAAAATACACAATTTAATGTCTGAAGGTGAACAGGATACAAAACAAGCCTTCTGGAGCAGTGAATGCCAGGTTGCTCTGTTTTGTGCAGTCGTATGCAATACCTTAAAATCACATTGGCACAAGGAGCAGGATTTCGGATAGTGATCTAGGGTGAATCTACACTGTAGAATTAATGCAGTTTGACACAACTTTAACTTCCATGAGTCAATGCTATCACTGTGCTTATATCAAGGAAGAAGGAGAGGTGCTTGTAAAATTTACCAAGAGTAGTTCGTGTCTTGGTTTTGTGGGAAAGGACGATCATTCCTGTACAGATCAGTTTAACTCTGCCTAGACTGCCAAGCGTATTACCCACAGAGTTAAATCTACACAACCCAGACACATTGAGCGCATCCATATTGTAGAATTCATGCAGTTGGAGACCACTTTAATTTCCATGATTCAATGCTCTGTAATAATGGGAGTTGTAGTTTTATAAGGTTTTTAACCACCTCTGCCAAAGGGTGCTGGTGCTTCTCTAAACTACAACTCACAGAATTCCATAGTTTTGAGTATTGGCTGTTATAGTGGTGTCAAACTGCATTAATTCTACAGTGTAGATGCACTGATAGAGTAGCAGGAAGAGAGTTTCCTGACATGCAAAAAAGCTATGAGCTTCAGAGGGCAAGACAGAGTCTCTTCAAAGTGTGCCCGGCATTCACGCTCAAAGCTGATGTCGGATTTATGAACCAGTCACTATATTTTAGTTTCTGCAATTTGTACAACACTGGGTGGCAGGTTTTTTAGCTGATGTGATGGTACAAATTACAGTGGCAACTTAAGAGCTTGTGTGAACTAACCAATACATTGGCATTAGTCATATGCAGCAATGATTAAGGAAGACTTAGAGGTGCTTCCTAGAGAATTGCTGCAAACGCATAGGTTTCAGCAATTAATAAATTATTGCACTCATATTGTATATATCTTCCCTGTTTCCCCAACACTCCTTCAGTTCACTTATGATTTATTAGAAAGATGTAGGAATACAAATAGTAAATCAATATAACATGATAAATTTGCTCAATATTTGCTTTGGTATTTCTTCCTTGATGTTCAGAGTAGCCACTCGTGTTAATCTCATGCAAATGGGAAATTACTTGCAAGAATTATAGTAGCAATAAGGAAGAAGCTCCTCACTCTGTTCCATTGTGGTTATAATATCTCCTTTATATTTAAGAAACAGGAGATACTTCTGTTCAAAGTCCCGCATTTCATCTATTTTGATTCTAAGACACACTTTCCACCTTATAAACATTTCAAAAAATTGAATGCATCTCAGAAACTTGGGTGCACATCAGGTATTTTTTGTTTGTGGTGGTGGTAGTGAAATTACTTTGCATCTTACAGTTGCTGGTATCTTAGAACTGAAGAAATATAGTATTATGACTCTAGGGGCTCTTCCACACAGACTTATGGCAGAATATCAATGCAGAAAATCCCACATTATCTGAGTGTGGACTCAGCCCCCTCCCACACAACTGAATAAAATTCCACATTTTCTGCTTTGAATAGCATCCCACATTTTCTAGCAGTGTGGACTCAGATAACCCAGTTCAAAGCAGATATTGGGGGATTTTCTGCCTTGATATTCTGGGATATAGGGCTGTGTGGAAGGGTCCTGTGTCAGCTTCCACCATGGTTGAAATCAGTGCCTTGTAAGCTTTATATATAGGGCCCTTCCACACAGCCATATTACCCAGAATATCAAAGCAGAAAATCCCACAATATTAAATTGGGATATATATCCCAGTTTAAAGCAGATATTTTGGGATTTTATTCAGTTGTGCAGAAAATCCCACAATATCAAACTGGCATATATATCCCAGTTTAAAGCAGAGATTGTGGGATTTTATTCAGTTGTGTGGAAGGGACCTTTTTCATGTCAGGAGCGACTTGAGAAACTGCAAGTTGCTTTTGGTTACCCAGGGGATGCCTGGATTTTTTTTTATGTTTTACCATCCTTGTGGGAGGTTTCTCTCATGTCCCCTCATGGGGAGCTGGAGCTGACAGAGGGAGCTCATCCACACTCTCCCTGGATTCAAACCTGTGACCTGTTGGTCTTCAGTCCTGCCGGCGCAAGGGTTTAACTCACTGCTCCACTGAGGGCTCCGGGAGGGACCATAATAAGCATTGCCTCCAAACCTGGTTAACTTTAAGACTCTGCTACTTCGTATTAACTGTGGCTAAGGCTAGCATACAAGGAATGGGATATTTTTGCCAGAAAGAAGAGGGACCTCCATGATAAAGCACACATTCCTATAGGCCATTATCCTGTTCCTTTGCCATGTCTGTGTTACATCTGCAATAGCTCTTATAAATAAGTAGCATGGAAAATTCTAATTCATAGAAGTGATCCTATTGCAAGAAATAGGAATTATTGAAGAAGGAAAATGTATGGTATTCTCTGCGATGACCCATCATGCATTTCAGCAAGATAATTTCCAAGATAATACTTTGAAACTATCAGTTAAATAGTAACAAATTAACAAATTTCAGGTTCTTCTTTATGCCAGATAAATATTCATAAACCCCAAATAATTGATTAATTTCTAAGGTTCCTATAGGATTCCTTTGTGCAAAAGACAAAACTTTGAAGATTTCCTTTTAGCTGTGCCACTATTTGTTTGCTTTTTAACTCCCATGCCTCCCAACTTCAAAAAGTTATTTTAAATGTGCTGGAGGATAAATTATGGGCTTTGAAGAATTACAAAATTAAATTACACAAACAGCCTGCAAAATGATGAGGGGACTGGAAGTTATAATTTGTGACATCTCAGAATTTTCTGTAGGTATCCAGAATGTTTGTCCAACTATATATTCCATGCTGGGGTTTTATTTGTTTCGGTTTTTTCCCCCTCTGAATTTTTGCTTTAATGCTTCTGATTGAAAAAGGATGATGGCATTGGTTGCATAAGGAAAGATGCTCTGAGAATTGAATTCACGACAACAATGGCCTTTGTGTCCACCTTGTGTTGCTTTCATGCAGTGTGCCAACTTGGTTTTTCTTCTTGACATGAGAATGGTTTGTGGTGCAATTCCATATAGGCTTCTCCAGATACTCTAAAATCCAGTGGGACTTGCTCCCAAGTAAATGTTTGCTAGGATTGCAACCTCAGGCTACTTTTGTTGCCTCTGGGGAAAAGCATTGCGCACAGGATGGTTTCATAAAGCACTTCACCAGAGTCTTGTGTCATCTGTAGCATGCATTAAATGACTAATCCTAGTGCACATGGACACTGGCTTCTCAAAAGCAATAGAGATTAGAAGCATTGCAGAGGCGATATTCTTGGTCTTTGGTCAATGAGAAGCCTCATGTTATAGCCTCATAATTGGCTGTAGGTTTTGTCCTTT